GGGAGGCTCCTTTCATTTCTTAACCCTGGATACAGGGCAAGCCTAAAGTAGGTAACTGAAAAGTGTCCGTAACTTTTGAACGAATAGAGAAATAGAAATAGAGAAAATTTTAGAGATAGCAGAAAAGAATAGTTTTGACAAAGGAGATATCAAGAAATTGAATGAAAAAGTGAAGCGGAGAATCCTAAATAAGGAAACATCAAAGTTAAATATAGAGAAAGCCGAGATGAGGTTTAAGAAATTCTCATACCATCAAAAATATGCCCCAGCTTTTCATAGGATTTTTGAGAAGTTCAACATAAAACTAAGCTTCACCAATAGGTTCCATGTTGCTCAACAATTCAGCAAGAAGATTGAAAACAGAAGCCCTGACAATGAGGAGAAAGGTATTTACCAAATAAACTGTACAGAGTGCAATAAAGTCTACATCGGACAGACCAGCCGCTCACTGAAAGTGAGAGCCCAAGAACATAAAAGATGTGTTAGAAATAGAAAAACAGAGAAATCAGCAGTAGCCCTACACTACTGGGAAGAAGGACACGAAATATCGTTTGAACCGAAACTGCTAAAAGAAAGTCACTGAGAAAAATAAACCAGACATATGGGAAAATATTTACATGTACCAAAACAAGAACAACATTTTTAATACGGACCTAACGGGAGTAAATAACAGACTATTCAGAACAATACACTCGAGATGTGACAACGATAGAGGGACGGGAAATAATCCGGGACCGAAATCAGCTGATATTGAGATTGACCAGTCGCGCCAATGATGGAGGACAGGAGCCTCCGAAACGCGTCCGCTCCGTCAAAACATTTTATGCAAGTGAGTGTTTTCACAAATTGTTTTTTAAAAGTTTTAAAATTGTAAATTTTTTAAAAAATTTTATAATTTTAAATTTTACGTACTCTTGTGTAGTGCTTTAAACTCCTTAACCGTTTTCATCAACTTGAAGTTATGTCGAACTCCGGTTTGCGCGAACATTCTTCTTTTTTTATCCTCTGATAAACGATGGGTCATGAAGGGAGCAATTGCGTTTTAAAAATTTCGAAAAGCCCCACCTCTTCAGGAAGGAATCTTTGGGAGGAAACAAAAATGAGCTTTTTTCAATGAATCAGGCCTCGGCTGCAATGAACAATCGTTCGAACCGAAACGTTTGATCTCAATTGGCCCAGAAGTTTTAGACACTTTTCAGCAACTTCAGGCCCACGCTGTGAACGCATATCTTCGAGCACAACTTATTTCGCCGTCCATGGTCAGTTTATACTACACAAAAAGAGTTCGTTCGAGAAGCGAGTAGAAAAAAAGAAATCTGAATTCAAGCCGGGGAGTTTAAGTACCAGTCAGGTGGTTTAATGTTCAGCTCTCGCTGTAAAATATTTACGCTCTCGTCGCTTCAGATGATATACATCGCGGATGTGTACAAGTGGAAGAGGAATTGGGACGCAGAGTTGGATGAGTGCCGGTCCTCACGAATTTGGGAACGGCCAATCACGGCAGAACTGGAATTTCTAGCCGGACCAAATGAAACCGCTTTTGCAATCCGCACTAGGAATGAAATGAGCGATGAGGGATACAGAATGCATTTATCCTCTCACGGCAAGCACGCCAGGATCAACGAATTTCCGAGTGATTTCACGACAACGGTAAAATAGTAGTGAGTTGTTCTTTCGCCTTTTCAAAGACTCAGAAGAAAGTAATGGGGGGGAAAAGACTACCTACAACTACACAGCACAACAAATTTAGGGTTTAGGTTTGTCCTTCGAACCAAACCAATTTTTTTCGATTCCTCGGTGTTAAAGAAGTCCAAAAATGGCCATATTAACTTCAGGAAAATTGGCTGGTCCTCAGGGCGCCGCCATTTCGAATTTTTCGAAATTGAGAAAACCCACGATTACATTTTTGCAAATATCTCCTCATCGGTTCATCTCACGAAAAAAAAAACAAAAAAACCAGCAGAAAGAGCATAAAATTTCTTACCGAAATGATCTTCCTTTGTTATTTCTAACATAATTTTTTGGTCGAGACATTAACGTTTTCTTCAAAAAGTAGCTTAAAAAAGGCGCATTTCTGCTGATTTAAGGAGAAACTTTGCTTCATACCTCCAGTCAGGCCCGCCACATCCCATCTCGGGCCCTGGTACCAATTTTCTGGCCCGGGCCCCTAGCCTAGGGAGGGGGGGGGTCCGGGGGGGCCTCCCCCGTGAAATTTTTGAAATTTTAAATCTATTTGGACGCATTATGAAGCTCTTATGATGGAGATTTTCCATCAATTTCTGCAGAATAATTACGCCTTTTTGTTTACTTTCAGCACCAAAAACTTTCGAATTGTTGCATTCAAAACATCTATAAATTTTTTTTTGAGGAGGCAGATGATAATTTTCAATTCTATGGGGAGCCGGGCCCCCCTGGACTCCCCTTTCGTACGTCTATGGCAAGGGAGTTAAGCCATTGAAGTCGAGGATGCCCAGAAAGGAGCCTCTTAGCATCCGACAACGGAAGAAAATGAAACACAGTTACTAAAAATATCATTCTGCATATACTCAAAATCTTGAAAATCTCTAAAAAAGTGAGAAAAATTTTATAGTGCCCTAGCGTGTTTTTGAAACTTTATTCACCTTTTGCGGAATTTTTAGGGTAATTTTTTCACTTTTTCCTACGAGACAAGGGTTACACATGAATTCGTAGTGGTTTGTCACCTGCGTCACGGGCCCCTCCAGGGCCCGGGCCCCGGTACCAAGGACCCAGTATCCCCCCCTTGTGGCGGGCCTGCCTCCAGTCACGATTATCTGAGAAAAAAACTGTTATGCTCATTGAAATGAGCGTAAAATTTACTTCTAGAAAACATATGTCAATAGTTCCTAAACTTGATTTAATCCTGTGAAACAGCAGTTTATTAGCTCCGCCCTTAAAATGTGATTTTTTCGACCATTTTCCACTCAGATAACTAAATGTTGACTTCTTTAAATACAATGATGCCTATTTTAGTGTTACACCCATCCTAAAAGCTATTGTCATTGTACAAATAATGTGTTATTTTCGGTAAGTAACGGTATCCTGAGCTGCGTACGAGTCGGTTCCTATTATTGCGTTATTTTCATACCAATATTACTGTTTGATCGAATTAGAAGAATTCGATAGGTATAGAATCCTCCTCTACCTCGAAGATATCATCCTCAATCATGCAAGGTTGCATAAATTACAGTTCAACAGTGAAATTGAACTTTCATCAGTTATATTGGTATCAGCGACGGTCAACTCACTCTAAACTTGGGTGCCATGTGATGGTAGAATTTTCATATTCATTGCCAAATTGCTTTAAAACCAGTCCTTTTTGGGCTGAATGCGTGAACGGATGTAAAAAAATTATTATTATTTACTGGGCTTAAGAATATTAATGACCATAACAAATTTTTGACTGTCTGATTTTGGTCGGCCTCCCCCTCCTTCCACCGTAAAGTATCGAAAGAGCGAGAAATGCTATTTGAAACGTTAAAAACCCTTAAAACATGAATTGGTGTTGAAATATTTCATTGGCCGCTTTGCTGTGCACCGTGGTTCCTTAAAACCTCTATATCCGATTTTCGCGGAATTTGGAGGTCACCTCAAAGAAGCATCCGAAAAATATGGTTGTACCGGTTTGTACCGTTTGTGCTTTGGTATATGGTATCTCTAGGCTATATGCTTTCTAAAAATACCAAAGAGAACCGCGCAACGAACCGCAATGACACTTTCCCAGTCTACAATATTCTGAAAAATTCATTTTTTAAGGCTTATTTTTCGGGTAACTTTGATCTCATGCCCTGCAGCTAAAAATCAATATTTTTGGGATCTGAAAAAACGCAAAATATTCTCCTTCCAATAGAATTACAAGGTTAGATGATAATATTGCATTTTTCTGTTCGATGATTGTGTTTGTCCCCCATTTTACAAGAGCACAAGAGCCTCTTTTTTATCGAGCAATTTCTCCAGCTTTCGACGTCCAAAACCTACATTTAGACATTTTTGCCGGTTTTTTTTTTGACACAAAATTTGGAAAGAACAGATCAAATTACCCTAAGAATCATCATGATTTGAACGATTTGTCTGATCTAGCGGGAGTTATCAATTAAGCGCGGCTACGGACACAATCTGGCCCACCGTGCAGTGCGGCGAAGCGTATAAGCACAGCAAATAAATGCTTGTCTCACAGCCGACGGATCCAGGGTTATTACCTCGGTACAGAACTAATTAAGAAGCACAAGACGGGTCTCCTAAAGGGCCGTGACATCCTGTGGGCGAGTAAGGTACTTATCACGAGCGCGGACGAAAGAGGGACACACAAAGACGAAAATAAAATGAAGAGGAACAACGAAAAAGAGAAGGTAAAAAAGCAAAAAGAGGAGGGAGAAAGCGAAAAATGGGAGGGGGAAGGGGGAAAAAGAAGATATTAAAAAGAGAGGAGGGATAGTAGACCGGGAGGTCGGCGTCATTTTGGTGTCCCACTTGGAAATAGACCAATTTTTGAAAATCGACAAAAATTTTCATTCTGATTCCGAAAACCAAGGTTTGCAAGACCGGTGCTGTTGCTTTCAGTCGCAGTAGGGCTATGAAGGTGACGGATATATTGAAAAAATATCGCATCTCGAAACGTTGCAGATCTCACTTTTCTAATGTGACTTTTTGAAAAAAATTTACAAGAACTATGAGTGCCCAAGGTTTTTTCTAGGAATGCTTTAAAAAATATTTTAATTATTTCCTATAAAAACAGCGAATTTGTTTTTTAGTTTTGCTCTATTAGGATATCGTCTAAACTAATCACTTTTTTCATTCTTCTCGGAAGGTTTTCAAATAAACGTTTCAGATCTACAGCGTGCGATACAAACAGCTTTCGACTTGTTTCCCCCTTCCCAGAGTACAAGAGGCACAACCGGTCCCGCGAAATTTGAGAGCGTGCTCAAATCAAACCACTTAATCGAAACAGCAACAACAACTTTTACACGCCACTTTCGAAAGAGGGGCTGTCGTCCAGGCTTCAACTGTCGCGTGCGTAAGTGCGACCTCTTCAGTCTAAGTTCAAGTTTTGATCCGAAAACTTAAGATTTGTAATTCAATCCTAGAATTTCAAGTGCTGCGGGCTCCGCATAAAAACAATATGCAATGCATATGATATCAATATTTCTAGTTATTTGCAGTGCAAGTGTTGATTGATGTGAAACAGTGGTTGAAACTTATCCGATTAATAATCCAATTAATATTGTGCGGTTACTTACACCAAATTACTCAAATTTTCAGGAAAACTAGGCGAAACGAGTCGGTAAATTCACTTATTAGCTGACTAAATCCTTCATTAAAGTAGGGCTATACAAAAGACACACGCTATTTTAATTAAGTGGAACAGGTAGCGTAAAGTAAGAAATGAAAATACTATAATTGCAAAACTTGTAAATTTTCACGATAGGTACCTAGATGGTTTTTCGATGATTTTAGAAATTTAAAAATTGAGTACACGTGAGTAAGCCAAAACAAAGAAAAAGAAAAAGAAAGAATTGAAACAGTGGCACGCCTTTCTTCCAAGAGGGGAAAACTAGATTATATTATGAGATACGATGACAGTAATAAATAGATAATGATGATAAAAAACAACTAGATGGAAACATGACGTGACAACAAGTCAAATTTTTCTTAATAGATACAAACGACTTGCTGAAAGAAAGGGAAGCGGGGGGACAAGTAAACGGAAAATAAAGTGCCGGAATGCTTAAAGCAGTGGCACGAAGTAAAGGGCGACTTCATGCTCTTTCATAACTACCCACAACGCAAGTACTGATTTGCGATCTCAATCCAAATTTATTTGAAGTATTTTCACCTGCGTCCAACGACACTGAAAACCATTTCATTGACATTTTACGAATCATATTTATGCGATTCATTGTTATAACTTGACTTCAGTCTTACTTGAAACCCCAGTTGGTTTTCCCCACGCACAATCTATATGATAAACCGAATAGAAATTAATTGCAAAAGAGATATTAAACCTCGCCGGCAATTTCAAAAGAAATAACTCAGAATGAAAGTGAATACTTATACATTTGTTGGGAGCTGGTTATCCACCATGATAAAAGCAGAGTTGTTTTCTATTCTTGATGGGGTTGGAAAACACATGGAGAAAGCTACATCAGAGTCCTGGCTCTTATCGGATAATTTGAGAGTAGGAGACAACGATCTAAGAAAATCAGCACACTTTCGTCGCCGGCTCGGAGTGCTGGGCCAGGAAAGGAGTAATTTGCTTAGTGCATCATTTACAAGTGATGCTTTTATAGACATAGATCATTATATGAAAAACATGTTGCGGAAATCCATGGAATCACTAGTGAACTGGGACGAAAAAGTCGGATGGACCGATTGGAAAACAGAGTCAGACAAGAATTCAAAAGGTAAGAAAATATATGGTTCATATTGCGGAGGCCCGGCTGAAAAAACGCCTCCAAGCTCATAACTTAAGAAACATTAAAAATTTTGGCAAAAACTGAAGATATTCCTGAGAGTAGGCGAAATTACCTTTCTATCGGTTTATTACTTTGCAAGAAGGTACGTGCAAAACGGGCCTTTTGAGGCTCGGGGTGGATACCTTTGAGACTTGCAAAAAAATGCCCCATCTTTTCCAAAAGTTTCAAGCCCCCAAATAATTTTGGGGAGACGCGGCGAGGGGTCAAAGTTAAAATCCGGCAAAATTTTCGCGAATTTATTACTCGAAAACCAAGAAGTTTTGGAAAACGCCGTATTCAGCGTGACAAGAGCTTTCAGGAAATGTAAAACATCATAGGGTTTTGTCAACTTCAGCGAGATAACTCTCGCTCGGTTATAACACTCGCCGGAACGCTCAAAAAGACCCCTTATTGTTTCACGTTCGGGCCGATTTAAAAAAAAAAAAAAAAAAAAAAAAAAATTATTTTGATGAAAAACTGATATGTTGTCTCGGACTCTCTGTAGCCCCTCTAGCTCTTGACCGCATGCTGGGGAAATGTTTTGGTCACGAGTTATAAGAGAGGAACGAAGCGAAGGTCGGGAAAATCGGCTATTTTGAACTGTGCGCGTCGCATGAGTTAGAAGGAGAACTAGAGTACCTTTATAGACAGAGTATGGCCATTTCTGTTCCGGTTTTTCATTGGTCGCGAGCGAATAGGCTGACAAGATCCTCTTAGGGCCGTAAATAAACAAACAAGATGGCTGTTATTAGCAAGCAAGATTGAGGTTATACACATCTTACATCCTCCTGTGATAAAGGTGAAAGGCGAGTTAACAATGTTTTCACGTGTTTTTCGTGTGGTATCCGTAGAAATGCTAGTTTAAATTGTTACTGCCGCATAATTGAAATTTTTGTCAAATTTAGCTTCTTATCAATGTTACTGTGAGCCGCCATTTTGTTTGTTTATTTACGGCCCTAAGAGCATCATGAAGCCTAAAAACTCGTTGACCAATCAAAAAGCAGAACAGTTTTCCTGTAGTAAAAAGATACGAATGGCCGTACTCTGTCTATAAAGGTACTCTAAGAGAATGTCCCCTCCTGCTCAGCTCGGCGAATCACACTCCTCTGCCGAACTCGCATTGTTGCCACATGTCTCCTGATCCGTTGCCGCGCGCAATCAGGGTTCCCAGCCAATTTTGGAAAAAAAAAATCCCTGACATGTCAAGGTTTTCCAGGCCAAAATGAAAATTTTTCCAGGCCTTTTTCCGTGGAAAAAACTCAAATAATTTGCCCTAAAAGAGACAGCGCGCGCGCGCATTTTTCGGTTTTTGTAAAAACTCTTCTATTTTCATCAATTTTTTATCTGGTTTAGCTTTTTTTTTTTTTTTATAAGAACCAGGCTAGGATAGTATCATAGCACGAATGAAATCACAAAAAAACTTAAAATGTGTTGGAAAAAAAAATTGGCGAAATACAAACGCCTTCTTAAACGATAGGTACATGCATTGATGAAAGCAAATGATTTTTCAATTTGTTTCATTTACTCATAGTAGTATTGGATTTGAAAAATAAATCCCATCATGGTATTGCTGCTATGCTAAGGAAAAGAGCACTGAACAGATTCTTTTAAAAAATAATCCAACCTGCAGTCTTCTTTCTGCAGACTATTAAGAACTATTCTTAAAAAAAATGAGAAATGAATATATATTTTTTAAATGAGCGTGTTGTCCAGGGAGAAAAGGCAGAGTTACAAAAAAAATAACCTCTACCTTAGCATGCAGACATAGTTCTCAGCTAAGCGCAAGATATCCTAGTGAGTGTACTTGAAACTTTTACATTGAAGATTGAAGGTTACCCGATCGAAGAGGAGTGAAGAGGAGTGGCTAGCTCCTGCGATCTCTTTTTTCATTAGACGCAACCAGTCACACAAGATGCCCCAGGCACGTATCCAGGATTTCCTTCCGGGGGAGGGGGGGGCTTGGGGGTCCCTCTACTACCGGGGGGTCTGGGGGGTATGGAATACCCCCCAGGACGAAGAGGAGTCCGGGGGTCCTCCCCCGGAAAATTTTAGAAATTCGTAATCTAATTAGACGCATTTTGAGGCTTTCGTGACGCAGATTTTCCATCAATGTCCGCAGAAAAGTTACGTTTCCTTTTTGAACATTCAGCAAAAAATACAAAATATGCATTCGACAAATCTAGAAAATTTTTGAAATTTTAACTCTATTTGGACGCATTTTGAGGCTTCTGTGACGCAGATTTTCCATCAGTTTCTGCATAAAAATTACGCCTTTTTTTTTTACTTTCAGCATAAAATACTTTCGAATTATATGCATTCGACAAATCTGGGAAATTTTTGAAATTTCAACTCTATTTGGACGCATTTTGAGGCTTCTGTGACACAAATTTTCCATCAGTTTCTGCATGAAATTTTCGCTTTTTTTTACAGAAAATGCTTTCGAATTGTTACATTCAACAAAGTTGGAAAATTTCAGAAATTTTAACTCTATTTGGACGCATTTTGAGGCTTTTCTGACGAAAATTTTGGGAATGAACAGATGTTTTCATTTGAGACTCTACATTAAAACAGATAAATATCTTCGACGGTCTCAAATTTCATCTTTTCTCGCACTTTCTCATCTTCTGTCTCCTCTTTCCTTCTCTCTTTTCCCCGTTTTTTGGCTTTCGGGGGGGGGGGGGCTTGAGCCCCCTAAGCCCCCCTCTGTCAGATGCCCCCATCATTATGGCTCACCTGCAGGGGGAGCCACCGAACACTTTCGAGTAGTTCCGATTCGTTCCGAATGCCGATAAAGAGGATGAGTTGCCGGAAAATTCAAAATACGACGAAGGCATTGCAATTTCAACTTCAATTCTTTTAATTTTATTTGTTTACTTATCAATTTTTTTTTCTCAGCAATTGAAAAAATTCCAGACTTTTGGAGTAAATTCCCTGACTTTTCCAGGTTTTCCAGATCGCTGGGAACCCTGGCAATTTAAAAAAAGCCGATTTTCCCGACCTTCGCTCCTTTCCGCTCTCATAACTCGCGACCAAACCATTTCCCCAGCATGCGGTCAAGAGCTAGAGGGGCTACAGAGAGTTAGGAACAACATACCAGTTTTTCTTCAAAATAAAAAAATTGCTTTTTTTTAAATCGGCCCGAACGTTAAAAAATAAGGGGTCTTTCATGAGCGTTCCGGCGCTTCGGAGGCGATAACTCGAGCTAAAGTTGACAAATCCCTATGATGTTATACATTTTCTGAAGCTTTCTTACGCTGAATACGCTCGTTTGAACGGCGTTACCCAAAACTTCTTGGTTTTTGAGTGATAAATTCGCGAAAATTTTGCCGGATTTTAACTTTGACCCCCCGCCGCGTCTCCCCAAAATTTTTAGTGGGCTTGAAATTTTGGGAAAAGATGGGGCATTGTTTGGTGAATGAATGGGGCAAGTCTCAGAGGTATCCGCCCCGAGCCCCAAATAGCCCGTTTTGCACGTACCCCTTTAAACAACTCTTGACGTTACAACGTTGCCAAACTTTCGACATGTTGGGAAATTCACATCACGGGTGACAGATAAGGCTGTTAAACCTCACGGGTGCAGCAGGTATTAAAAAAATGTAAATACCAACTTAGGCAAACACTGCGGGACATTATTTTAACTTTTAAAATCCAAGATACAAACAGCACGCACAAGGTCAGGCCCGCCACATCCCATCTCGGGCCCTGGTACCAATTTTCTGGCCCGGGCCCCTAGCACAGGGGGGGGGGTCCGGGGGGCCTCCCCCGGGAAATTTTTGAAATTTTGAATCTATTTGGACGCATTATGAAGCTCTTATGATGGAGATTTTACATCAACTTCTGCAGAATAATTACGCCTTTTTGTTTACTTTCAGCACCAAAAACTTTCGAATTGTTGCATTCACAACATCTATATATTTTTTTTTCGAGGGGGCAGATGATAATTTTCAATTCTATGGGGAGCCGGGCCCCCCCGGACTCCCCTTTCGTACGTCTATGACAAAGGAGTTACGCCATTGAAGTCGAGGATGCCCAGAAAGGAGCCTCCTAGCATCCGACAACGGAAGAAAATGTAACACAGTTACTAAAAATATCATTCTGCATATACTCAAAATCTTGAAAATCTCTAAAAAATTAAGAAAAATTTTATAGTGCCCTAGCGTGTTTTTGAAACTTTATTCACCCTTTGCGGAATTTTTAGGGTAATTTTTTCACTTTTCCCTACGAGACAAGGGTTACACATGAATTCGTAGTGGTTTGTCACCTGCGTCACGGGCCCCTCCAGGGCCCGGGCCCCGGTACCAGGGACCCAGTATCCCCCCCCTTGTGGCGGGCCTGCACAAGGTTCTTCTCATATCTTGATGATACTCAATCCCGTTGCAGCCATCAAACTTCTGCCAACAATGAACGCTTTCTCACCCTCCATGTAGTGCTGACTTGGCGCCGTGTCGTTTTAAGCTTTTTTCGAACCTGAATATGGACCTGCTCAAAGGCATTCAATTCTAATCAGACGCCGAAGTCAAAGTCGCAGACGACAAGTGGATTCAAAGTCAACCAAATTCATTTCTTTTCGACGGGATTTTACTCGTTGAACGTTGCCGGAAGTTAACGGAAATCAATCGAAAAATAATTGTAAGTATTTTTTTAATACTCTATGATTCTCTCGAATACACTCTACTATTCTTTCGTACTTCGCTTGTTTGGATCATCTTAAATTCGTCCAATTATAGCGCGGCAGAGTCATAAATTTTCATCCGTAACATTTTCCTTAAACCTGACAGAAGTTTGTCAACGCTGTAACGTCAACAATTATTCGACTTTGCAAACCGATAGACCACTAGTAAGGGAATTACGTTAACTTTCAGAATATCTTTTTTTTTGCCAAAATCTTCAATGGTTCTCAAGTTATGAGCTTAGAGGTGTTACTTTTCAGCCGGGTCTCGTATTCTTTTGAGTTTAAGAATATAAACAAGCAACTTAACGGAGCACAGAACTTTCTGAAGTTAGCTTCTTTACAGAAGCGATATTAAAAAATTAACGATTACTATACTAGAAATACGAGGACTACGAGGTCATGAAAAGATCCACTTGGATTTTAAACGAGAAATGGCTAACATTTTCTTTGAGCGAATTATGTATTGGACCCTTCATTCGCCGTTATCGCCTTATGTTATAGAAAGTTGCATAAGAAGATGCAAAAAAAGATAATAAACGGCGTAACATAAAAAAAAAAATTACCAGTTAGGCGAGAGTGGTGCTTTCATTCCAATATGAGCGTAACTGTCTCTCTTTCAAAAGAATGAGGTGAAGCAACACGCATGAATGTCGTGAAAATTGCCTGAATGACACTGGATTTACAAAAAACTCGTCATTTTTTTTCATAAAAAGGAATTCCCGTATTTTGACTATAATTCTGGATTGAGATAAGTAGGTTGAAAATGCCGCTTTGAGCACAGCTGTTGCCAGATGGTGCAAAACTTAATTATTAAATTATAGGCGCGACCTGAAAACACCACATTTTACGGCGTTCTTTGATAGTGCAAAAAGAAAATAATAAATTATTCGTGCCGTTAGAAATGCATGCATGCAGGGTGATCCAGGATTAAACCGCCAGACTGTATGAGCGTGTTCTATGGGTCAAAATAGGTTTTTTGAGTTTAGCGAAATTCAAGTCGGTCTACCCCTAAAGAGTTTCTAAGTAGTCTCTAAATGGACCTCCTGAACAGAAAAAACTTTTAACATATTTTTACCCGTGCCTCAAAGGGCAAAAATCCAAAAGAAAAAAATTTTAGCAAGCAACACATCATTTCTGAAGGAAAATTGTAGTGCAAGGTCAAAAACGGATCAATGACGACGTGAGGCCATGCGCTGGCCGCTAGGCGCGCGGGTCAATACGCAAGCTGCTTAGGAAAGGGAAGCGCTCGGGCGCCTGGCACCGCGCTGCAACTCCATGCAGTGAAATGAAGTTTTTTTTTCTTTCTTTTTTTTCTGCTGGTTTAATGGTTTCGTGTCTAGCACCTTTAGCCAACTTGTTTTAGTGTACGTAGACATCGTGGAATCTCCATGCACCAGGCTTTTCCAATTTTCAGGGATTAGGGCCGAGGAGAATCTGTTTCAACGGATCTAATTGTAAATTCCGTGAAAATTAGACGCCACCACCGGGATTCGAACTCGGGACCTATTGACCTAGAGTCAGACATGCTGACCACTAGGCCAACCTGGCCGGCGGAAACGAAGTTATCTGAGAGGGACTGAGATGATATTTAAGACAGAAATTAACAGTTTCATCGTTTACTAGGTTTGCCAAAATGCTACACTTGTCAACGAATGAGAAAAGGGTATTAACAATTATGCACCCACGAAACACAAAAACTGAAACGTAAAAAATATGTCTGTAATTTTTGTAAAGACATGAAGTGTATCAACAATTGAATGCAGAATGTATATGAGTTTCATATTTTTCAATGGGTTGTGTCAGTCGCTCAGTCGCGTATGTTGAGATGAGGAAATCGGGGTCTCTTTTTTTAAAAATAGGATTATCGAAAAATCACTGACCACCCCTATCACTATTTTCCTAATGGATTTAGAAGTTTGAAACTTTCCTAGATAGCACAAAATATTTTGAAAATATTGTCACCTTTATGAAAATATTTTCATGACAATATTGTAATTAAAATATTTTAAAAATATTTTTAAAATGTTTTTAAAACATTTTTAGGGAACATTTTGAAAACGTTTACAAATTTACAATCGAAGCATTCACGTGAGAAAATCTTTAATTTTTGTAAGAAATTAAAATATACTTGGCAACATTGCGTTCGGAATTCAATATTCTCCGTCTGTAGCGTTCATTTACTATCGAGTCGTAATGTTTAGCCCATACTCATCAAAGTTATAGCCCATGAAGGTACGTGTTCTGCCAAAAATCTCGGAAAAACCCTAATTTTATGTTAAAAAAATTAATAATAAATTGGCAACACTGCTTCGAAAAGTTCACGATGGCCTTTAGTTGCGCTTCTATTCGATCTCAGGGTAGTATTCAGCTCATAGACCGATGCACTAGTCTGTTTAATTATGATGCATTGGACTATTAGTCCCGAATTCCTTAATTTTGGCACATAAAAATGGAAAATTGGCAACGCTGTACAGCCTAAACGAGGTTTCACTTCAAGTTGAAACTTTTCCTGGAAGTTTGCCTTACCATGAGCTTTCGTTTGAGCCTTGTCTCGTTGACCAACTCGGGTATAATAGTCTGTTGAACCATGATGATTCAGTACTTCGTGAGTACAGCGCATAAAAATGAAAAATTGGCGACGCTGTACAGCCTAAACGAAGTTTCACTTCAAATTGAAACTTTTCCCAGAAGTTTGCCTTACCATAAGCTTTCGTTTGAGCCTTGTCTCGTTGACCAACTCGGGTATAATAGTCTGTTGAACCATGACGATTCAGTATTTCGTGAGTTTAGCGCATAAAAATGGAAAATTGGCAACGCTGTACAGCCTAAACGAGGTTTCACTTCAAGTTGAAACTTTTCCTGGAAGTTTGCCTTACCATGAGCTTTCGTTTGAGCCTTGTCCCGTTGACCAACTTGGGTGTACTAGTCTACTTATGCACCGGACTAATAGTCCAATATCCTTGATTTTAGCACATGAAACTGGAAAATTGGCAACGCTGTACAGCCTAAACCAAGGGTCACTTCAAGTTGAAACTTTGCATGGAAGTTTGCCTTACCATGAGCTTTCATTTGAGCACTGTCCGGTTGACCAACTCAGGTATAAAAAAAGGGGCGAAAAAACACAACTTTTTGGCGAGGCTCTTTACATGTTAATTTTTGTCTTAAATTTACAGTTTTTAGCGAGTAAAATAGAAACTATTGATGGATAATCGGGGTTTTCCTCCAAGACAGAAGAAGTTGCACAATCTTGGCAACATTGCAATGCTACTGGTTCATTTTTGCAAAATGCAATCCAATTCTAATACTCACAAGTTCTAGCAGCATACTTCTGGAATCCTCAGAAACAAACGCGAGCTCTGAAAGTTGAATAATAAAAGCTGATTTCGGATTCGGATTTTAGCAGCGCAACGTGGTGGATTTTTTCGAAATTATAGCTGAAGATTCATCTTAAGTTGCCTCAGCCCTGTTTTGGTTTTCTGTGGTTGGTTTTTTGGTCGAAGAAATGTGACTTTTTTCTTGTATACATATTTCTTGGGGGAAGGGATGCCAAAAGGGGTGAAATCTCTAATTTTAATATCTAGAAAGGAGATTTAATGCCTCAAGGCAAAATGAAACGTTATGAAAACCATAAAATTAATGTTCCTTATGGTTTAGAACTACGATGCAGCGTTGCAGCCGATAATCGGCTGCAACGAGACCGGAAACCAATCCATCGGTAAACAGCCGTAATATCGATTAACCGCCATTTTGATGTTTTTTGGTATTTCAAAATTCCGCTGAGGATTCTTTCTTTTCGTGCCGAATTACCCCCGGATAACACGTTTAATGAAAATCCAACGATAAGCAGCCTAAACTTCCACTTCCCGCTCTGAGCTACCATTTGACAGCCAACATTCTGAAAAAGGACTAACGTTTGTGGAAGGCTTATACCACAAATAGCCAAAATCCATCAAAGGTGTAACTTTTTCGTCCATTTTCTCCGTCTTTTTGCTGTGAAAATGCTGTCCAGAATGATGGCGATTTGGCAACTTTGCCCTCCAATTTCTCAATAACCGTGAGTATACTCAAGCTAAAATTTTTACAAGAGTTTTAGGGTATCATGAGGTAGGTATCGTCTGGGCCCGGTTTCAGAAAAATCCTTGCGGACCCGAATTGTGCCAAAAAACGGGCGTTTTTGGCGTCGCTCTTTAGGGAGCGCCTCGGTTCATTTTCTAAAGTTGCCTTGTTTGGACCACCCTAGCGTAGCGTAGCCAGACATTTTTCATGGGAGGAGAGTGGGGGCGGGGGCTACTACCGGAGAATCTGAGCACATGTTATACCAAACATGTTCTCATTATGGAGGTCTAATGATAAAGATTTCCTAAATTGCCTGAGACCATAAAATCTGTTCCGCGATCTAAAAGCAAGGCACCAGTCGGGAAAAGGTCAAAAGATACCGGGGAGGTCAAATTCGCTTGAACGTCCATGACAAGCAAGGATTGAGAGCTTTGCGCCAATACCAATTGAACTGCAAAAACTCGTTTGAATACTGAAAAATATTTGCGAGGACGAATGTACCGGAAAGCTAAAGAGATGAAGCTTTACGCGAATTTGGATGTTTCAGAAGAAACCAAAAATTCGGAAAGTTTAACTCCCCAGAGTTTCCGTTGCGCACAGCGCTTTAAAATCGGCTGCGCCGTGGCCCTCCCCTCACGCCTCCCTCCCCATGGGTAAAAAGTGTGATTTTTTTGGTCCAAATAGGCCCCCTCGATATCCTCCTGAGAAATAGTCCTGCCTTTGTCATTTGGGCGCATTTTATGGCCAACAAACATTTCTCCCCATTTAAACCAATGTATTTTTTTCTATTGAAAGGGAGGCTCTGCAAAAAACTATTAACCTGAAACGTTTAAAATTTGTCACTTTTCTTTGTTTTTCTTAGGGCAAAGAGGGCATTTCCAAGAGCAGAAAATAAAAAAAGAACTGATTTTCTTCGTTCTTTTGATAATTTTGAAAACGCTGGGCGTACTTGTCACGAAAATCAAGATGGCTATTGGCATCATGTTCCTGAAACTTCTAATTGGAAAACTGATATTACTCTTCATTCATCTCAAAGGTTCCAAACACCACCATGGACCACTGATCAAGGCTTACCAATCAACGACAAACGAATTTCATAGCTACTTGGGACCTAAATACAAATCTGATAGTTTCGATGCGGATGGCCCAATTTTCCCATCACCTCCAAATTTCCACGTTCATTCCAGGAAATGATAAGAGTTAAAACTGATGAGTCTAGGTTTTTCATGCAACCAAGTTTCTGGAAGAGATTTCCATACTCTATTTATATCTGTTTTCATATAAGTGAGAAAAAGTTGACCACAAATAAGCATATCATTAAAAATATATTATTTTACGTTATTTCGTAGTCTAATTCATTACTCGTTCCAACCGCTACGTCATCAACCCTATTGAGTTGCCAAAAGACAATCTGCGATCAAAATTCTGCGTAGATAGACTTTTCAGTGTAAATGCAGCTGACTGACCGAAAAAAAGAAGATTAAAAGCCATTGTTTATGCGACGATAGGAACTCATTCACTGGCTAGAATGAGCTTAATTAGCAATATTCAATTCCTGCATACTTGAAAACGAGAGAGTGCAGGGAGTTCACAGGAATTTTCCTCGATTTCTTTGAGCAGTAATCACCCATCAAAAACGAGCTCAAAGTTGCGTACTTTGAGCTCCCATTAAAACGCGCGTCGGCGGGACATTGAAAACGGCCGACGTGAGCGCCTGACGGAGAGTGGCCACACTTGTCGACTTACCTCTGTTGCATCTTATAGTCCACACTAAGGGCTACTGGACATCGCGCCGGATCGAGTGCAAACTATAGGACGTGGCATAGGTAAGTCGCCGAGTGTAGCCATTCTCCGTCAGGCGCTGACGGCGGCCATTTTCAGTGTCCCGCGGACGCGCGTTTAAGTGGGAGCTCAAAATACGCAACTTCGAGCTCGTTTTTCGCGGGTCAGTATTGTTCAACAAAATTGGGGAAAAATCCTTTGAACTCCATGCAAACTCCATGCACTCTCTGCACTCTGCAAAAGTTGTCATGGTGAAAAAAAACCGCGCTCCGCGCCGTTTTCTTTAGCGGGCCTCTCCCCCTTGACGCGCGTGCTTTTTAGTTTGAGTGTTCGGCCTCGGTTGTTCTGTCTCTTCAAGCGGCCCGCGCGTCCACCGCGGGAAGAGTGTATTTTCTGAAGGGAGGGGGGTTCAATCTTTTGAGGCTAAATTTGCGTATACTCTGCTGGAGGCATTGATTATTCGAAGGACTTCATGTTGCCGGATTGCAGTTAAAATCCCTCATGTAATGTAAGACATGAAAAAATTTCAATAAACGATGTGGCAATCTTGAATGACGATGGCTCAATCTCCGTAACTCACTGTGCGACAACATTGCCGTCGTGTCCATCAATTTTCAGTTCGTGACCAACTGTGCGACAACATTGCCGTCTTGTCCACCAATTTTTAGTCCGTGACCCACTGTGCGACAATATTGCCATCTTGTCCACGTATTTTCAGTCCTTGACCCACTATGCGACTAAATTGCCGTCTCGTTCACCAATTTTCAGTCCGTGACCCACTGTGCGACAACATTGCCATCTTGTCCACGTATTTTCAGTCCTTGACCCACTGTGCGACTAAATTGCCGTCTCGTCCAACAATTTTCAGTCCGTGACCCACTGTGCGACTAAATTGCCGTCTTGTCCTCCAATTTTCAGTCCGTGACCCACTAGGCGACTATATTGCCGTCTAATCCACCAATTTTCAATTCGTGACCCACTGTGCAACAACATTGCCATCTTGTCTACCAACTTTTAGTCCGTGACCCACTGTGCGGCCCTGCTCCCCTCTAGCCGCGCACCCCCGTCTAAAACTTTCAAAGCTCACCATTTTTAAACGGCGCAGCCGATTTCGCTCAAATTCAATACCAGCCTAGAACTTAGTAAGATCTACCTCCCATAAAAATTTCGGGGGCAAATCTCGTAATTTGCGCCAGTTATCGCGACCACAAAATTGTACCTCCCCCTACTTCTCTCCCCCATCATTTGTAATCTAATACTACGATCTCGGTTTTTTTTTCGGAAAATGATTATCCTGTTCGTCTTTTTTACATCGCAAAAAGGCATTTTTATTTTTTTCTTTTTTTTTAAAAAAAAGAGTTCGACTCTCCTTTGCGTTGAAACGCCGGGAAAAGTCGGGAGAGCCGGCCTCGGGCGGCGTTAAGGTAACGTTAAGGACTTAATAAAAATAATACCAATAATACTAACAATACAAAAAATAATACGAGGGTCGTTCAGAAAGTAAGTTTCCCTATTTTTTTTCTTAAGAACTATAAAAACTACAAAAATCGTAAATATATGGCTGAAAAGCTTACACTCTCAGCTTTCTAACGGTGTATTGGTGTTTGTTTTTTGACCAACCAATCGCTCAGAAATTGCATTTTTCCGCGACCACCTTGAAGAATTACCCGCCACCTCCAAGGTGCATGAGAATTGCATTGAAAAACAAAAGAAAAAGGACCACGAGCAAAATTGTAAAAGTTATTAAGCATAGCACAAACCTTTCAGCTTTTTTCGACGTAGTTTCCTCTCACTGTGAAACATTTTTCACACCTTGGTATCAGTTTCCTGATGCCTTCACGGTAGAAGTCCTTCGGCTGTTGTTCGAAAAATCCCAGGACAGTTTCTTGGAGTTCCTCATCTGTGTCGAACTTGACATGACCTAGAAACTTCTTCAGAGCTGGGAAAAGATGGTAGTCACTAGGAGCTACGTCAGGACTATACGGTGGATGAGGAAGGCAAGTCCAACCGAACTTTTCGATTAACTCAACAGTATCAGCCGCTGTATGTGGTCGCGCATTGTCGTAAAGCAAAATCACTCCTTGGGTAAGATTGCCCCGCCTGATGAAATTTTCTCAATAATCGGGAAAGCCTTGCATCTTCAAAGATATACACCTAGTTGACATATCTGAAGCCTCTCTTGTCGTAAAAGACAGTCCAGGAAAATAAGCCATGAAAGGGGCTATAGCCTGCAAAAATCCCGGGTAAGAATGTTTTCATCGATTCCTATGTAATTTTTGACGCTGAATCCGAATTTCAACTTTGCGCCATTAAATTCGGACCGGAAAGTTGCCAAATTTGGCAAAAAAGGCCTACAATCGGCATTTTTTACGGATTATGGCCTGTGACTCGCCAAAAATTGATCTGAAGACAGAATTAGTTATTTTCAGAAATAAAGCTCGTTAAATTTCATACAAAAAAGTTTCTATACATTTTTTGCCTTCAGGCAAAATTAAGCGCGCTGGCGGGCGCCAAACTTTGAAAAATGAGCGAAAATTGCGGGTTTTTTTTTGCGGTTTTTGCTTTATGTCTCCTTTTTTACCCGTCTGCAGAGTGATTTCTGGACTTATGTGAAGATAATAAAGTTCACACTGAGTTCCATGAATCGATGTGAAAAATAAGGAGCCCAACACATTGCAATGTTGCCAAAATTACCTAAAATTGATTGTTGGCGGCTTTGGACCATTAATTGCCTTATTATCCGTCTATTTGTTCAGTCTCCATTTTTAAAGCGGGGATAATGAATCGAAATCAGCGGAAAGGAGGATTAAATGATTCTTTGTCACATTTTTTTTCATCAGAATGAGGTGGAAACACTTCAGAGGGTCGTGCGTCCACTAAAGTGCTCTATCGTGACACTTGTAGTGCAGTTGCTGGATGGATGATCTTGAGCTTCTTTTAAAGCTTAGACGGTCTACTTTCATAAAATAATAGTTTTGTAGTTTTCCGTGCGTTCCCCTCAACGCTGCGGCTCAAAATGTAAAAAATTGAAATTTTGAGCTACGGCAATGTGGCAACAATGGATGAAAATTTTAAAATGGACCAATTTCGTGAATATTAGCTAAAATCTGATAATTTTCTCTAAATTTTGAGACCAAGACCATCTCTCTACGACAAACCGTTCGCGAGATATGCCCGTTTAAAGTTTTAACTTTAACCCCCTCCCCCTCCCGTCATAATTATCCAAATTCAAAAATCGTCAGTGTTTTGGACTTGGGAAGTAGTCCTCCATCAACCCCGAAAATATTACGAAGATTTGGCCGAGGTTGGAAATG